AAAATTAATAATAAAAAAAACGATGTTGACATTTAAAAAAAGTTTTTAAAAAAACACTACAAAATTACAAAAATTTTAACTAAAATTAAAATGAAACCAGAAAAATATAAAAATAACATCTATTTAAAATATTAACAAAAACTATAACTATATTAATAATAGTAAAATACCTCTGCGTCATGCAACTAAATATTTTACGTCTAATTTACGTTTAGTTGTCACAGTAGTTTGGGAATCGCTGTTGTGTAGTACAGCTTCATCTGCTAAATCGTTTTTTATGAAATCGTCAATATTACATAACTCTAACATGCCAAATAAGCATTAAAATCCTAAATTGGGTTTATTCAGATATTGTGCATGTGTTCTGGAGAAAATCAAAAAAGCAATTGGTTCTTCAAATACAATTCCTTTAGTTGTGCATTTGTAAGCTTGCTCTGTCTCCTCATTGTGTGCTTTGTAAAATCACTTTAACTGTTGTCGTAATAACCATTCTGTCCTCATTCTCCAGGTGGGTGACAATGATCTGGTCTACATCTCTCACAAGGCTTTCTCAGGACTGATCGGTCTGGAAGACCTGACCATCGAGAGGTGCAACCTGACGTCCGTATCCGGCCAAACTCTGTCTTACCTGCGTAACCTCGTCACCCTGCGACTGTGCCACCTCAGCATCTCGGCCCTCGAGGACCAGAACTTCCTCAAGCTGTCTGCGCTGAGAGGCCTGGAGATCGACGGCTGGCCGTACCTGGAGTACATCTCGCTGCTGAGCTTCCAGGGTCTCAATCTGTCCTGGCTCTTCATCACCAACACCAACATCAGCTCGGTGCCATCGGCCTCCTTCAGGAACCTGGCTTACCTGACGGCCCTGAACCTCTCTTACAACCCCATCTCCACGCTCGAGTCCTGGGCCTTTCGAGACCTCATCAGGCCGGTTTATGTGTGCTTTATTTGTTTACCTGCATGTCATGTGACCGTGAGCGTGTCAAAATAGTTTGTGAATCTCTAAAGATGCAAGTACAGCTTCATCTGCTTAAATGGGGAAAGACTCTGAAACGGTTTGTCAGGATTACATAACTTTAACGTGTCAAATTCAAATTATAAAACGGATAGTTCCGGTCCTTGATTCTGATTGGCTGAGCCACGTTCGAAGCTGTTGTAAATTACTCTACAAAGTAACATACACCTTTGTTTACGTCTGTGTTGCTCGGCAACCACTTTGTTGCAACCACAACTGTTTCTGAGGAACTACATTGTTTGGTGGAAGAATACTGTTTTTATTAATATCATTACACTTTATTTGCTCTGTTTTATTTTGTGAAACCATACTACGTATATGGAATAACCGTTTTATAAAAGCAATAAGCCCCGTGAAGCCGTGGTTTACAGTGAATTTATAACAGCTAAGGCTGTTTCCCTCAACGCCTAACAAGCGGAAACCCCCTTAGCTGTTCGATAATGCAAAAGGACAATAGTAAACACTCAATTTTCAGTTAAAGGCAGTTCATCAACCTCCAGCTCAGTTCAGTTTAATTGGTTCTTCTACCTTTCAATTCTTTAGTAACCATAATTTGTGCATTTGTAAACTTGGTCTGTCCCTGTCCGAGTGCTGTGCTTCACGTCAAACATTTGTGACCCAGGACCGCATAATGTTCTTTTTAGCAGCATCATATGACCCCTTTAAGTTTACATTTTCCGAAATTTAGATTTATACATCATGATACCCCAGCGACTTAAGACTGCTTTTGTGCTCCAGGGTCACATTCATCTCTATAAAACCACATTAATTGCAGTCGTCATAATAATTCTGTCCTTGTTTTGCAGACTGAAGGAGCTGCACATGATCAGCACCAACCTGCTCACCGTGGAGCCTCATGCTCTGGGAGGTTTGCGTCAGATCCGAGTCCTGAACCTGTCCAACAACGATCTGGTGACTCTGGAGGAGAGCTCCTTCCACTCGGTCAACAGCCTGGAGACGCTCCGTGTGGACGGGAACCCGCTGTCCTGCGACTGTCGTCTGCTGTGGATCCTGCAGCGCAGACGCACTCTAAACTTTGACGGGAAGATGCCGGTGTGCGCCGGACCGCCGGAGGTGCAGGGATACCTGTTGAGCATGTTCACCGATTCGGCGTTATTCGACTACTTCACCTGCCAGAAGCCCAAGATCCGCAACCGGAAGCTGCAGCAGGTGAGCAGTGATGGGTATCGTTAAGGTTTTAACAGTATTACCGATACTGCTAAGCCGGTTCTGTGATCAGTAGTAAATCTCCATCACATGCTTTCAGCAGCATTTACAACACAGAGCTGTAGTTCACTGACAAGCTACGCAAAAAAAATCGCAGACGATATGATTATGAAATCGAAGAAATCGTTCGCGATAATGAAAGCAGTTTGCGTAGCTTCTCAGTGAACTACGGCTCTGTGTAGTAAATGCTGCTCCATCTGAAAGCACGTGAAAATACCACATTTAATAACATGTTTTTACTCACTTCATAACGTCAGTCGAGAGTTTGAAATAAATCCTTCTGTGAGATGATGTGGCTTCTTACACAGAATAAGGCACGCAACATTTTAGAGCTGTCAAAATGACTTAACTAAATTCGAATTTTCTACTTAAATATAATCAAAATTCGAATTATATTCGAATTTAAAAGACAATTTCAGTTAGGGGGAAAAAAGCTTTTGGCTTCTCTCCTGAGGCCACAAGAGGGTGCATTGCGCAAAATATTATGCACGTTTCTTCAAAGCGTAATAAAATAACACGACTATCTTTGAAAAAAAGTGCATAATGTTTAAAATAATGTTTATAAACCATATATAATTAATAAAGTTACTTAAACACTTAGAAGAAAAAAAACAGCACCATGCATCTATGTATAGTTTAATACAAAGGACCGAAAACCAATCACAAAGAGTACTTTCTTCATTTAAAAACATGAGAT